TACATGTATTAAGTACCAAATTGATAACAAATTGTGGAATTCTAGTATCTTACCACATATCTCTGAAGCGGGGCTCTCTGTAGCTGTGTGTCCTCTCTCGTGGCAAGTCCATACACATCTTCGATCACATCTTCCTCCTCATCGTCTTCAATCAGCACGTTAGAGTACAGAGGCTTGATATGTGTCCTAGTCGACCTGTGGAGCCACCACAAGTAGTCATCAAAGATGTGCTGGTCATGTGGGGGACCCGTATCGACCGACAGTCATTCCTTGTTCTGCCACAACTAGATGAATGTGTGGTGCGTCACGCACCAATCCTTGTTCTTGTACCTCTTCCTGCGGTCATACCTGCAACAAAACAATTGTTAGTGGTACCATACACATCTCAAAAATATAAATTCATTATTAATCAATAACGCACCCGTGCAATTCTTGGTTAGTAGAGTAAAGCGGTGGTGGGCAGCCTGTCATTCTTCCAAACTACTTGCACACCCTGATGGGCAAGTGGATCTCGACCCTGATGGATGTTCCAGTGAAACTCGTCTGACTCTTCCCAACACATAGGACTAAGATAGTCATATAGGTCGGGAGCATCATCCCAAGAACACCAATGCACCTGAACAAATAGTAATTGAGTTAGCTGGTGATATATTGAAAATACAAAAAGACACCTGTATCATACTAAAGATAGCGTAACCTGGTGCTGTGTGAGGATGTCCAGAGAGTCTATGTACTCCATGTACTTTCGATACGGATTCCCTCTAATTAACTGTGATTCCTTCCAAATATACAAAGCTATAGGCATTATATCCTGTCTGTTCCAATGCTGCATTGAAAAAGACATTAGATTAGTCAAAAATAATTTCATCATAAGTAATCGCCTCGAAAAACATAGTCAACTAAAGTACTTACAGGCAAACCATTAAGAAGGAGCCTCCCAATAGGCCATCATTCCCAACACCAAACCTGGAGTAGGTAGGAACAACCCCCAAGGTTCAAAAACCCTGAGGTACGGCGGCAGGCAATGCATAGCTGTCGGTACGTCCATTGCTAGTACCATGCTGCCCCAAATGTAAGCCGCTACGTTCTCCCATGGCTGACGCAGTATATCAAGAAAGATCCAGTTGATGGTGTTGCCCGACGCGTCTAGGAACAGGAAAGCACCAAGGAAGTGCCACAGCCACACTCTAGCGAACCTCTCGATCTCATCCGCGCTAGCCTGTGGATGTAGGTAATTGAAGCGCTCTGTGATCCATGATGACAAAACACCGAAAGATTTCCTAAAATTCATCAAATACAATGGGAACCCAATAGCTATAGAAAACTGATGGAACTATTGAATAGGGTAGAATTGCTTACTTGTTTTTCTTAGAAACCTCATCGTCTGGTGGAACAAAACCAGTGAACTAAGCCACTAGGTCCCTCCAATGATCATTGTCAACTATCAGCCTGTTCGAATGGCTGGCTGGTTCGTGGCTGGATCATGGATTATTACTGCTGGCTGGTTTGGTTTGAGAGAAAAATATTATTTCGGCTAAAAATTTACGATCATTTACGAGATCCATCAGCCAACCGAACAGGCTATATACCTTACATCGAAGTCCCCCAACCAAAGGCCAAAGATAACCTTCACGTCATGCATGCCAGAGTACTGTAAAACCAATTTTTCCATCTTGATTCTTCGGTTCGTTGCCTTTGCTCAAACGGAAAACTTTTTTTTTAATCGGTGCCTTTACAACTTTTTGAATTTGGGAGATACATCATTACGACCTATCTAAGAGATACGCTATTACAATTCTTCCATCAACAGACATATCATTACCTGTGTGCTATTATGCTCTTTTGCCCGAGGAGCTCGTCGCGAGGTTCTGCTGCACTGACGGCGGGCGCGGCGCGGCGGTGAACGCGGCCAACGCGTGCGTGCTGCGGTGCGCAGCGGAGTTCCTGGCGGCGGCAGACGCGCCCGAGGCCGCGTCCACAGCGGCGCCGAGCCTGGTGCGGATGATGGAGAAGGCGCTCGAGGAGATGCCGCAATGGCCATGGCACACCATCGTGGACTACCAGCGCCTGCTCCCGCTCGCCGTGGCCATGCACCTGCCGGCGGCCGGGGATGCCACGCCCACGGGCTCCTCGCCGGAGAGCACGGCGTTCCGGTTCTCGTGCGACACCAAGAGCAGCAGCCTCAGCCTGCGCGGGTCCTGCATCAGCCGCACCTGGTGGTTCTCGCGCTCGGCCCCACCACGGTGGAGTGCGTCGCCTCGGCGCTCGTGGCCAGGGGCACCGACCACGGCGTCGCTTGACAACCTGCTCGTCCAGGCGCCGCCCGGGACGGCCAGCCTGTACGACGTGAGCCTGGTGCTCAGGTTCTTGGCCACATTCCTCCGACTCGAGTGCTACGACCCGAGGTGCCCAGCCCGCAGCGGACGCCGGTGCTGCTGGCCGCGACGGCCTGCACCGCCGAGCCTCGACCAACGCGAAGTGGGTGCCTCGGGGCTGATGTGTCCCTCCTGAACGAACGGCTCGGATGAAAGAACGGAAAGTAAAAGAGATGGGATTACTAACGTTCACGGACAGGAGGCATGTCTGTAATGAAGAAAATGATGCCGTAACAAGTTAGGTGCAGGTGCATTTATAACGACCTAAGCCTGTTCGCTGGGCCGAAATCTGGCTGATCTGGCTGTTTTTTTATTTATTTTTGAGAAAAACACTGCCGGCTAGCTGACTGATTTGGCTGATAAGTTCAAGCGAACACGGCTGAAGACGTCGGCGGGAAAGAAGGCTGAAAGAAGCTTGCAGTGTAAGGGCATGTTCGCTTGGAGGAATTCTGGAGGAATTTAGATGGTTTGGAGGAATGTTGGAGGAATTTGTCTGAGAAAAATACTGTTCCGGATAAAAAAAAGAATCGAATCAAGCCGGGTTTAAGGGCACGCGAACGGGCCTAAGGAGCATTTCAGATTCAAAAACAAGAGAGGATTTGACTTGGATGGAATTATAGGATTTGCTATGGAGGTAGGAAATAAAGCAGTGCCACATCATCCATCGATGGAACCAGATTGCTTGGTTCCGAGAGAAGGGTTGCGGGAGATTGAAAGGGTCAAGGGAGGCAATGTGGCGAGTTCAGCTCATGAGGGGAGACAAGACTGCATCTAATTCGACTGGATGCATATCGTATGACAGCGATCTACAAAATCCAACGCTACTGGGATCTAGTGTTATGACATCCCTTTCGTTCAAGAAAAGGTAAGACTGCTGTGTTTTGAATCTGCCATTGCCCATGATCGCCGGAGTTAAAGGATTTGCTATCGATTTGTGTCGAAAAATGTTTTGCAGGAAAAGGGGGAAAGAAGGTCCGGACGCGTGCTTGGCGCCAACAGCTAACAGCGCGATTACACAAGCAATATCAACGGCTAAGGACAGGGAGGGTGAGCCTCTATATTCTAACCATACAAGGAACAACATTTAGCTCATATGAAGAGGCAAAGGAGTTCTACACCCTATATTCTTGGGAGGTTGGATTCGGAATCAGGGAATCACAAGCAAAGACAAACAGCAATAATTACACGACAAGAAAGGATATAGTGTGCTCGTGTGAGGTATGAAATCATATACGAATGAGATGTTAATTTGAGCTAGTGCAATGTTCAATGTGTTAGTAATTATGTTGTTGTCCGCAGGGATTCTGTAAGAACCCAAGAGCACCTTCGGCAAGATCAGGCTGCAAAGCAATGCTGCGACTCCATCGAACTGAGAACCATTCAGGTATAGTGAGTAGAATTATTTCAGGACACAACCATGCACTTTCAGCGACGTGGGGAGAAGAAGCAGTGGGGAACTAAGGAGTTCATAAAGAGATTGAGGAGAAACAATGTTGCATTAGGACGTGTATGCATCATAATTGGTGTGCTGTCTGCAGAAAGTGATAGCAATCAGTAAAGAACCTCTCTGTGCAAGAATGGCACAAGAAGATATACATGACGATATGAAGAAAAATATGGAGCTCCTGGGAATGATGAAGGAAGAGGTGGACTAAAGAAGCAGGTCCAGATATCAATGCTGGGTCGGGCTGTTCAGTAATGGAACAAATAACAGCACAGAGTGATGAACTGAAGAGGCGAGTCCTTGTAATGAAAGCACTGGAGCTGTCACGAACTAAAGGGCCAATCAATGACGAAGCATATAGAGATGCTCTGCGTGCAATGGAGAGCATCGTACCAGTCAGGCAAGCTTCCATCGAAACGATCAATTCAGCTGCTAATTATGAGACATCTAATGTTTGTGCCCCGTCTCATGAGTTGACAATTGCATGCCTTCCGAGGGCAAAAAGAGCAGGCAGGCCTAGAGACACGTCGCTGAAATCTTGGAACAAACACTACAAGCTAGAAAAGGAAAACAGAAGGGATGAAGACGAAAATATCACAAAAGAAGATACAAGCGCAGAGGGGAAGAGGCCATAAAAAACGAGAAGGTTGACTGATTTAATGCAGGTTACATAGTTGATGGTGACTTTGCATATTTAGAGCAGCATGTGGCAGGGAAGTGTAACCTAGGGTTGAAAGTCATTGGAAATAACCGATTCTGCTATGTCTTTCTAGTTGTTGCATAATTCAGATGTAGTATACCACAAAAAAATGTACAAATTTATGTGGATCTAAGGTAGTTGCTGAATTAGAGGGTTTCTGACAAAACTCCTATGTGGCTATAGTTTGTGTTGTGCAATGTTAATTTGTCTAATGTAGGAGTCTGACAAGAAAAAAACCTAAGCTTAGTCTCGATGAAGTATGGCGTGAGATTATAGTAGTCCTTAGGAATTGCATCTTTGTGGACATATCAAAGAACTGCAAAGGCATATGCTGAATGAACCAACTGATCCCACAAGTTCCTGGTATGGCAAATGTACCAATGTTGCCTGGGTTTGTTGATTAAATTTCAAGCAGAAGAAATGGGCACAAGACAAATGATATAATATAGTACTGGGGTGGAAAAGAGATTGAAGCATGCACTCAAGCATGCATTTGTACCAATGATGACTCCTTCTTGATATACTTCGGCATGAGCCTCACGCAGACAATGCTATTATAGAGCCGATTCAGATTCTTCTTCAGATTCTGCTTCGACTTCTCTGGATCATCATCAATGTCCCTACATATTTTCTTTTCTGCGATGTCGAGCTTCTCCCGGAGTTCAACCATCATCTGCTGCTGCTCCTCTTCAAGTGATTCGTACCCATCATAACGATGCTCGCCTTCACACATGGCATCATCTACACTGTTGACATCAGAGTCATCATAGTACTCACCTAGGTTGGTATTGATCTCCTTAAGGGAACATACAAAGAATAATGCAGTTAGTTCATGAGTACTAATAACACATGATGATGGTAAATAATAAATATATGACCAACTTTAATATGACGTGCTCTGAATAATTAGAGGTATGCCGTGCAATAAACATAACTATTGCAGAAATTGGTTCCATGTTTCGGCATTCATATGCACCCGATGTGTGCAAAGTAGTTTACTGGGAAGCAATTCCATGCGCAATTCGTAAGTGTAGCTATCGATGTACTTCACAGAAGCCTAAACAAACAATTTAGCAAGTAAACCTGTAAACCGAATGGAAGGTACTGTACTTGAATTCTAAAGATTAACATACAAGCAAACTTAGAAGTTGCTAACTGGAAATCTGAAACTAATGGACACAGATAAGGGGCGTGATTTAGAAAACAGTAAGCGAGATGAGGGTCTCACTAGCGATTACCTGCTTCTTGTTGCTGTTGTTGCTTGTACCGCCTCTGGAGCTAGATTGGGAGGGCTTCGTGCTCAACCGCGCGCCCCGAGACATGCTACGATTTTGACGGATAAGAGATTTCAGGTCGGGCTTGACATCCTCCTCAACCTGTTCGACTACCACGGGTGTCCGGCGGGACTTAGTAGATTCAACAGCAGAGGCAGAGACACGAGCTGAACCACCCCTTCCGGTGGACGCGAACTGTCCCGCCACATTCCGCGGTTGGGTGGTGGAGCTGTGCACACGCTTAGGAGTAGCCATACACGCACCGCCTATCCTCCCGCTCAGCGCCTGCAGCCTTCTCCTATCCTCACCGCCAGCGGCAGCGCAGATTGTGATGGATAGGTTTCATCACAGGCAGAAGCATTCAGATCAAACCCTCTACATGGCTTCAGTTTCCTAAGAAGTGAGTAGAACTGAGACATCGACGTGGCAACACAAAGATTAACATTTAGATAATGTGGCATGTCGTTGAGACTTGATAGAACTGAGTTGAACGACCTTTGAACATGATCACCGATAGTTGTTTAGTCAAGCGTTGAGCAACTTTGACTGGATGACGAAGCTTCAGAAAAGTTAGAACAACTAGCCCTCTGACATGGAGCAGCATCCTGTGTACTCTTCGAGCATTGTCCAGCGGCCATGGTACATAACTTTTTCCTCCTGTTTCTTAATGGAAACGACATGAGCCTTATCCCATTTGTTATTGCAAAATCAAGCACCTCAAAACCTGCTTGCCATAATAATTGATAAGATTGCAACTGGAGATGACAGATTAACATATTCATTGTGGATGAGAATTAAAGGTGTAACATCTACATAAAGTGCAGACCCAGTGCCAGAGGCTCCCACATGAGTGGGGTCTGGGGAAGGGAAAAACCGAGGCAAGCCTTCCCCCCGCAAAATCTGCGGAGAGGCTGCTTCGAACCCGCGACCTGGTGACTCAGTGAGACAGCTCTCACCACTGCACCAAGCCTGCCCTTCTGTGTAACATCTACAAAGATTAAAAAAATCTAACAGTGAAGCATCAGCAGAAATTGATAAGTGTGGCATGTGCCATTCAGGTGGTTGAATAAATCGATGACTTTTTCCTCTTGTTTCTTGATGGAAAAGGCATGAGCCTTATCCCGTTTGCTATTGCAGAATCAAGCACATCATAACCTGCTTGACATTGATTGGTAAGGTTGTAATAGCAGATGATAGACTAACATTTTCGGACTCGGTTACAATCATAGGTGTAACATCAACAGAGATTAAAAAATCTAACAGGGTAGCATCAGCAGGGATTGAAAAGTGTGGCATGTGTCATTGAGGTGGCTGAATAAATTGATATTGTGAAGAAATACTCATGATAGATATAACACGTACGGGCCAAGAAAATTGAAACATTGAATACACTAAATTAAGTTAACAACGTTTATCTTCAAGATCATTGAAAGCTTAACCATAAAGGAATGTAAATAAGCAGGTTAAAAAAGGAATTAATAAAAGGAAAAAGGGCGTTGAAGAATATATTGATGCGGGTGGTACAGTTTCAAATTACAGTGGTTCTACTACTTATCAACCATGTTAAAAATGTATCCACTGTTAGATCAATGAGCGACACGTTGTTTGGTAGCTATGGCAAACCTGATTTAGCAGCCTCCCCAGAATATGAAGATTGATAACTAAACCCTCTGTTGTATGGAATCATTATTGAAACAAGCACGGTCATAAATTTTATTGCCTAGGTACCATTGCAGAAAGGCCAGAATTAATTTGGTGCCGGAAGTCTGCTGCAGCAATGAACACAGGGCCAGCAGCCAGGTTTAGAGGGGACGGAGTAAGACAGTGTAAAACAAGTGCATAGAGTATAATAAAAGAATGCAAAGAGCAACCAGATGTACATTGCAAACAAGGTGAAAACAAATAGGGCATGTCACAGTTAGACAAGAAAAAAAGATGAAAAACTCCTTAATGCAATTACCTCAAGTGGTATATTCAATAGATGAACCATCGCTACTGCAGACTCCCAAATACTTCGAGACTCAAGTGTTCTGATGAATGCTCCATGGCCCAAGAATATGTGCAATCTGATGGGTCCCACAACTGATATGAAATAAAAAAACAAAGAGTATTCATTTGATGTGGTAAATGTACAAAACAAAAGGTATCAACAGATTTGCATAAAAAAGTACAGTAAACGTAGAACAATTGACATGGGAATATGAGAGGCAATACTAGGATAAATTTAGGGTGAGTTGCAGCAGTGGAACAAGATAGCATCAAAATCAGACATACAAGATGAGTGGGCATTGAAATTGTAATGTGGGATACTAAATTCAACTTTTCATAAAACGATGATCAGTAAAAATAACTAAGTTCTCTGAAATCCACCAACGTAAATGAGAAAGGAATATGTAGTTCAAACCTTTCCAATAGGAAGGTCATCATCAACTTTATTGTGTCTAGCATAATTCTTATCAGCCAATATCATAGCGCGGAGCTTATCATATGAAAAGTCTCTAATTCTTGGAAATGTATTGTGAGCCATTACAAGATCATCTAAATCTAAACTATCCAAGAAGAGAACCTGCAGCAGTTAAATATAAAATAACAGTCAGACTGGATCAGGATGGATACTACGTCTTAGTTGAAACAGCAGTTGATATGTTACAGATTCCAAACCTGGAGAAAGATCGGACCGCTTGTGATGTTTGGGAAGTTTATATTGCTTGACACATCCTGCTTCAGTTTCGTAACTGCTTCGAGCAAGTGAACAATGACGTATTCAGACCAGTCATAACTAATGATGTCATCAGGGTCTTTTATGGAGATAACAGGTTTGATACGAGAAAGACAACAAAGCAACCCTGAACGTGTCTGCCTCTGATTTTGACATAGGAGCAAGGTTCCAAAAAGCGTTCTTAAGCGCCCGCTTCCGCGCGCATAAGCGGTAAGCGGGGGGGGCACCGCTTCGCTTTGGAGCATAAGCGCTCCCTAAGCGGTGCCAGCACTTGGGCGGTCGCGGATGCGCGTGCAAGCGGCAATTGCTGCGCCGCGGACAGGCACCAGGCGCTGCCAGTGCCCGGGGAGTCGCAGGCGGGCGCCGCCTTGGTGGAGCAGCGGCTGCCGGCTCGCGCTGCTCAGGTGGAGGAGCGGCGCACGGGCGGGGGAGCAGAGGAGCGGCGGCGCACGGGCGGAGGAGTGCAGAGGAGCGGCGGCGCACAGGCGGAGGAGAGCAGAGGAGCGGCGGTGCGGCGCACGGGCGGAGGAGTGCAGAGGAGCGGCGGCGCACAGGCGGAGGAGAGCAGAGGAGCGGCGGTGCGCATGCGGAGGAGCAGAGCGGGGGCGCGCAGGTGGAGGAGAGCGAGAGCAGAGGAGCGGCGACGCGCAGGAGGAGCAGAGGAGCGGCGGCGCGGCCTCGGAAGAGCGAGGACTGCCGACGGTGGTGGCTGCCTTAGGGCATCGCTGGGTGTTATAATGTTTAGATGGGCTAGTCCGCTAGTGGGCTTCCTCTCTTGATGGGCCGAGTGGGCTGTTATGGCACTACTCTTCCTTTTCTATTAACTCTCACATTTATGCAACTAAAAATCTCCTGATTTGTAGTTAGTGTGTAAACGCTTAAGCCACACTTAGAACGCTTAAGCCCGCTTAAGTGCTAAGCGGCGGGTCACCGCTCGCTTAGCGCTTAGCGCTTTTTTGAACATTGATAGGAGACACATAGTCACGTTCAATAACCTGCTGGACTAACTTGATACTCCTTTGATCTATGATTCAGAATAAACTGCTGCAAAAAACGTCTCTTTTTCTTCTCGGCTGGAAACTCGCACATTTAAGATCTTGCCTGTCGAAGGTATTCCGATGACTTGCCCAACATCCGCTTTGGTGAATCTGATACTAATGTGCTGCCCAATACTGAGAGGGGAGGAATCTCATTCACACAACTCATAAGCCACAATACAAACTTCCTATTGAACTGCTTGATAGCAGGGAAATGCAAGATACCTTGAAACCCAATTGACTTGACAAGATCTCTCTTCTGCACATCGAACTTTGACACAACCTCATGGATTAATCTTACTGAACACCGATACGCAAAAGAACCACACTCATACAGTGAACTGTCCACATGGAAACTAGAAGGATACTGTGCACAGACAAACAACAAGTTCAAGAACTTTGGGGCGAAAGGCTAATATGTCAGCTAAATACAACGACTAAGCAACTAAAATGGCTATATTACACGGACAGTAGGTGCGATATTTGATCAATAAAATCAGGGATTAAAAGGAACAATAAGTATATGGGATTACAACTGATAACAAAATCGTAAAGCAGTTAATTGGAAAACAGAAATTATGAACTCGTGCTGAACCTGGAGGGGACGGTTAGCCATTAAGTAAATTCCAATTCCAGGTAAGATATCTCGAACGGAACAATGTGTGGCCGTACTACTCGAGTGGAGATAAGGAAATAATCGAGATACGAACAAGAAAAATCATACTGAACAGTAAAATAATTTATAAAACTGTGCATCCTGGTAGATCGAGAGTTACAGGTGAAGCTACGAACCTCTGGCTCTTCAATCGATGAGATCTGAGGATGAATCTGACCGAATTCTAAACCCATTCCAGTAGTAGATTTGCGAGCAGGCACATCCGCATTTTTCAACCTCTTACGCCGACCTCTCATCAAAGAGCCTAAAGCAGTCACAAATAGATCTAGAAGATCTCTAAGAGGAGGCGGACTTAACGAAACCTGTAGAGGGGAAAAAATTCTGAGATCGACAAAGGAATATCAAGAACAAGAATTGCTGTGCTTCGGATGGAAGATACAAGAAGCAGAGGAGACAAGAGCAGACAAGGATGAACAGTGGTCACAATAAATACACAGCTGCTACCGTATTGACGGAGGAGACAGTAGACAGAACGGGATACCCTTAATGCAGCAAATCAGGCCGTTATGAATCCGTTTAGAATAGATAAACTAGTATTGAGGACACTGTGTCAGCGAATCTCAAAGCAAGATGTATGGTGGATGAAAGGGAGGACACATGAGCCCCGAGGCACCCAAACATTCGGCGAGCCTCTTCCAGCCAGCGTCGGAGCCCGCAGCCACGCTACCTGAGCACTCGGGATGACGACAAGAGAGGAGCACCCAGCCGCAGCGCGGACCTCCCGAATAAACCTTGTGCTATTTTTAGCTTATGCATGTTTCTTTTCTATTTGCATGCGCATGAGCACTAACCTGTGGTCGGTGTGCGCCTAGGGAGAAGTGTTCGAGAATAGCACGCCATGGATGTGAGTTCTCAGTCATTAGCGATGTCATGGGCGTGGGGATGGACACGCCAATCACACGATGTGCATCAAGTGGCCGAGCCTCTTAGCTTCTGTAACTTCTGTATTTATTTAGTAAAGAACAACAGAAAAATGTTGCCTGTTTCCAGCAGCACCAACAGCTGCGTGTCCATTGTGTTCCTGGAGTTTGTGTGTGCGTGAGTTGTTCTTCCCCTCTGGAGTGTGCCTGAGTTCGCCGGCGTCATTCATCGCTGCCCCGGGCCTGACAATTGGCATCGGAGCTAAGGTTCAGGGGGCCTCGCCGTCGCCATGGTGTCTCCTCCGAGACCCCGCGGGCGTTCACCGGCCGGGAAGGGCAACGACTCCAAGAAGACCGATGGCTCCGGCGACTCCGGCAACAAGACGTCGCCACGCATGCCTACTTCGAGCCATTCCCCGCAACGCCGATCATGCACGTGCGTCCGATCATGCACGCACGACGCACGTCGTTCGCACACCCGGGATGCACGCCGTCCGCGGGAGGTGGTGATCGAGCGCATCATCTGAGAGGGCAGTAGCTCTGGCAACTAGCCGCAGCTGACAAGGACAAACTACCACGAATGGTCGCTCCGCATGAAGCTGAAGATGCAGGCGCATTACCTCTGGGACGCCATCCAATACGACGATGTGGAGTTCGATGACGATCGCAACGCCCTCAACGCGATCTACAGCGCCGTCTCGGCGGAGGTGGTGCCGCGCTCGCGACCAAGCTAACTGCGAAGGGAGCCTAGGAGGCCATCAAGACGTTCCGCATCGGCGACGACCGCGTGCGAAAGGCGACCGAGCAGAACCTCCGCGCCGAGTACGAGGCGATCGCGCTCCGCGACGGAGAGGCGATTGAGGACTTCGCGCTCCGTTTGACCGGCATCGTCCAGCCGTTGGCGACCCTCGGCAATCCTGAACCGGACGAGAAGGTCGTGGCGATGTACCTGCGCGTCATGCGTCCGAGGTACAAGCAACTCGTGATATCCATCGAGACTCTCCTTGACATATCCCAGCACTCGATCGAGGTCACTGGAAGATTGAAGGCGGCGGACGACGTCGAACCAACGCCGCCTCAAGCTGTCGGTGGCAAACTGCTACTCACGAAGGAGCAGTGGCTGGAGAGGTACAAGAAGCAGGACTCCAGCCGTGGAGGCTCAAACTCCGGTGGCTGGGGCAAGCGCCGTGGCAAACCGCACAGTCGCGGTGGCGGCAACAGCAGCGACGCACGCGACGATGCAGGTTCGGGTCGCGCCGCCGGCCCGGACAACGTGTGTAAGCATTGTGGCAAAAAAGGCCATTGGGCCCAGCACTGTTGTGGCAAACTCAAGGAGCAGCAGGCCCATGTGGCCCAAGATGATGAGCCCGCGCTGATGTTTGCCTACAGGACAGTGGAGGAAGGTGCGTCATCCACTCGTTCTTCATCCCTGACGCTGCCGCTACCGCTCCCCAACAATGTCGCCTTCGATGTCGCCCCCAGCAGCGCCACCTCCAAGGTCACCACCAACGCAGAAAGGGGTACGTCGCCCATTCCAGTTCCTTCCCCTCAGGTGCCGTCGCCGCATCACACCTCTGCTGCCGTCGGCGATGTCACCACCCCGGGCCAGCTCGAGCTCGTGGAGGCGAAGGTGTACGCCGCCTTAGATGCAGCTGAGGACCAGGACCTGAAGCGCTGGGTCCTAGACACTGGAGCTACGAATCACATGACCGGCTCCCGCAGTGCCTTCTCCGACCTCGACACCGGCATCGTCGGCACGGTCCACTTCGGCGACGGCTCCGTCGTCAAGATCGAGGGCCGCGACACCATCCTGTTCACCTGCAAGAACGGGGAGCATCGTGCCCTCAGCAACGCGTACTTCATCCCCAATCTGACCACAAACATCATCTGTGCCGGCCAGCTCGATGAGGTGGGGTTCCAGGTACTCGTGGAGGGAGGAGTGATGCGGATCCGCGACGAGGAGCGCCGCCTGCTCGCTAAGGTACACCAAAGCCCAAGCCGGCTCTATGTGCTCGACGTCAACATTGCACGGCCAGTGTGCTTAGCTGTGCATGCCACGGAGGACGCGTGGCTGTGGCATGCCCGATTTGAGCATGTCAACTTTGGCGCACTGAGGAAGATGGGGCGCGAGATGCTCGTTCGTGGGATGCCCTTACTGGACCACGTCGACCAAGTCTGCGACGCATGCCTCACCGGCAAGCACCAGCGGATGTCGTTCCCGCAGCGTGCGCTCTCGCAGTCAACCGAGGTGCTGCAGCTGCTACACGGGGACATCTGTGGTCCCATCGTGCCACTAATGCCCAACGGCAACTGCTACTTCCTTCTCCTCGTCGACGACTACTCGCGGTACATGTGGATCGCGCTGCTGCCTTCGAAGGACGCCGCAGCCGCGGCGATCAAGCGCATCTAGGCAGCGGCAGAGCGCAAGACCGGGAAGCTAGTTCGTACACTCCGCATAGACCGAGGAGGAGAGTTCCTGGCCCGGGACTTCGAATAGTACAGCGCCGAGCTGGGCGTGCGCCGCCAGCTCACGGCGCCATACTCTCCTCAGTAGAATGGCGTCGTCAAGAGGCGCAACCAGTCGGTGGTCACGACTGCTCAGTGCATGCTCAAGGCGAAGCAGCTCTCGGGCGTGTTCTGGGGAGAGGCGGTCACGACGGCTGTCTACCTGCTGAACCGGTCCTCTTCCAAGAGCATAGGAGGCAAGACCCCCTGTGAACTCTGGACCGGGAGCACGCTGAGAGTTCATCGTCTACGGACGTTCGGCTACGTCGCACACATGAAGCCGACGGCGCCGAACCAAAAGAAGCTCGACGACCGCAGCAGGCGCACCATCTTCGTCGGGTACGAGGCGGGCCCCAAGGCCTACCGCCTGTTCGACCCATCGACGCGGCGGGTTCACATCAGCCACGATGTCGTCTTCGACGAGTCTGCTCAGTGGAACTGGACGGGAGAACTTGCTGATGCTACGGATGGCTTCCACATCGAGGAGACTACTGCAGGGCTACCCTAGGTGATCACCGTGACTTCATCATCTACAGCACCAGCAGCAGCCACTGCATCCAGCTCGACATCACCAGCACCAACGGCTTCACCAGCATCCCACGGCGCCGGGCAGCAGTCGCTCACCACTCCTATACAAGGTGCAGGAGGAGTGGTGGAATTTGCATCGCCGCCTGAAGGTGAGGTGGACCTGGATGCTGAGATGCACCCCTCCGGTTCTGTCGGGTGGACAACGTGCTGGGCCCTTCATCGACACCTGGCCTAGCACAGTGGGAGTTGGAGGAGCACCTGCTTCTGGCCAGCGACGTCGAGCCGACCAGCTTCGCCGAGGCACAGGGGCACGAGTGCTGGCGCCACGCCATGCTCGATGAGATGATGGTGATCGAGGCGAATGGGATATGGGAGCTCGTCGATCCTCCGCCATGAGCATGACCCATTAGGCTCAAATGGGTCTACAAGGCAAAGAAGGACGCAGCCAGTATCATCTCCAAGTACAAAGCCTGGCTAGTCGCGAAGGGCTATGTGCAGTGGCAAGGCATCGACTTCGACGAGGTGTTCACACCGGTAGCACACCTAGAGTCCGTGCGGCTTCTTCTTTCGCACGCCGTGAACAAGGGCTGGGCTGTCCACCATATGGATGTCAAATCAGCCTTCCTCAACGGCGAGCTGCAGGAGGATGTCTACGTTGAGCAGCCACTAGGCTTCATCCTCAAGGGGCAAGAAGCCAAGGTGTTGTGCCTTGTCAAGGCCCTGTATGGGCTTTGTCAGGCTCCCCGCGCCTGGTATGTGAAGCTGGACAGCTCGCTGCTCAGGCTCAGCTTCCAGCGCAGCAACTCTGAGCATGCTGTGTACCTCCACGACGAGGGCGCATGCCACCTCATTGTGGGAGTCTACGTCGATGATCTCATGATCACTGGAGGCAGCGCGTGCGACATCGACGACTTCAAGTCACAGATGAAGGCGACGTTCCAAATGAGCGATCTGGGGCTGCTGCACTACTACCTCGGCCTGGAGGTGACTTGTCGGCGCACAACATCACCTTGGGCCAGAGCGCGTACGCGGCGAAGATCCTGCAGAACGCTGGGCTGGCTGGGTGTAACCCCAGCCACATTTCCATGGAGCCACGCCTCAAGCTGAGCAAGGAAAGCACCGCGCCCGCTGTCGATGCAACGGCGTACAGAAGCATCGTTGGCTCGCTGCGGTACCTGGTGAACACTAGGCCAAACTTGGCCTACTCAGTGGGCTATGTGAGCCGGTTCATGGAGAAGCCAACCACCGAGCACCTGGCTGCTGTGAAGAGGGTACTGCGGTACATAGCCGGCACTCTGGACTACGGCTGCTACTACACAAGGAAGGAGAAGGACGTGCATATTGTCGATTCAGCGACAGGGACCATGCCGGAGACATTGACACCCATAGGAGCACTACCGGCGTCCTCTACTTCCTTGTCAAGAACGTCATCACCTGGCAGAGCCAAAAGCAGAAAGTCGTTGCTCTGTCCTCATGCGAAGCTGAATACATCGCAGGGACTGCTGCTGCCTGCCAGGGTGTGTGGCTGAAGCGCCTCCTAGCTGAGCTAAGGGCGGACGAGGAGGGCGCAGTGAAGATCCACATCGACAGTCAATCCGCCATCCAGTTGAGTAAGAACCCTGTCTTTCATGATCATAGCAAGCATATAGATACAAGGTATCACTTCATTGGTGAGTGCATCGAGGAAGGCAGGGTGTGTGTTGCCTCCATTAGCACTGCTGAGCAGCTGGCGGACATCTTGATGAAGGCACTGCAGAGCGAGCGCTTCAGTGTGCTGCGCGACAAGCTCGGTATTGTCAATCTCAAGCAGACGCACAAGGCTTAGGAGGAGATTTGTTAGAATAAACCTTGTGCTATTTTTAGCTTATGCATGTTTCTTTTCTGTTTGCATGCGCATGAGCACTAACCTGTGGTCGCCGTGCGCCTAGGGAGAAGTGGCCGAGAATA